ATCGAGCCCCGCATCGGGCTCCCTGCTCGGCAGGAAGCCTGCTTCTCCCTCTCCCACTCCCCCTGCTTGTGTTCCCTCTCTCTCGCTGTGTCTCTCTCTGTCAAATAAATAAATAAAATCTTTAAAAAATATATCACTTTCTTTAAGAGTGGGAAATCATGAGGATATAAACATAGAACATGGAAACCTCATTTTCATTTTCTGAGAAAAAGGTTAGGAATGCCAAGTATTGTGGCAACACATTTTCTGTGTGATGACAGTTAAGAGTAATTGATGTGGTTTAATTTCATTCTATTTAATAATAGGTTTTTTGCTGAGATAAGACTATTTCCAGTATGTTCTTTCTGAAGGATACAAGAGGGCTGTTGGCTCAGCCTTTGTGACTATAAAGGTGCATAAAAAACCTCAGCCTTCTAGAGTAATGTTGGCAGTATGAATTTAGTGTACACATACATGCTTCTATGATACATGTTGTATATGTTTTTAAATACATGTGCCCAGCAGGTTATTTTAACCCCTCAGCACAGGTGAGTAGTGAGACTGTGAGCTCGTACTGATATGAGAGGCATCCAGGTAGGACTCGGGGCTGGAGTGGGAGAATATTCCTCCCTCAGAGCAGACCTCCAGGGTTACTCCTTGATCCTGGTCCTACAGAAGGTCATCACGGGACCACAGGGTTAGCATCTCATCTGCTAGAAGTGAGGGGACAGGACCACCATGTAAGCCACACTGTGTGTAGTCTGTCTGGTAGTGGGACTGTCACTGGATATTGTCACCACCAGGCAAACAGCTCTGTAGACTTAGAAGACACTGGCGTAGCCAAGAGTCATGTAGACAGTGCCCTCTGCATGCAATGCAATGTAATGGCAATAAAAATGAGTGGCTTTATTGTTAGCCTCTTCATTTGTACCAAAAGCAGCATGACTCTACCAAGAAGAGGGAAGCTGGAAAGAATCAGAAAAATTCACCCAGCCCACCCTCTGCCTTGTTATGGAGCCATGTGAGTTTAGACACTAGACCAGATCTTTCCACGGGACCAGGGTTGCCGACACATTCACTCACTTGCTTGGCTTCACTTGGGAGTTCATGTAGCACGTTGAATGTTCAGAAACAGGAATTGATTTGTTGTGGTGGTGATGGCAAGGAAGGAATGGAGGTGGGACTAACCGAGGCCAGCCTGGCTTCTGGCAGTTGGTACTCATATGTCCAACTGTTCTGGAGGATGGATCCAGACACTCAGCTGGGCCTTGCTAGGGCCCTCTGCTGGTCCCTCAATACGTGTCCTTTCATGCAATTTTGTGGGTTTATTTAACTATATAATAATACAAAATTTGCTGGATTTGTACAGAATATTTGGAAACTGTACTCTCTTGAAGGCTAGCCTCCAGAGATGAGGAGACAAGGTCTTCATTCCATTCTATGGAACATTTTATCATGACTCATTTTATGTTGCATAATATGTATTCTGCTGTCAATTGGAGATATCTGGACTTTGGAAGGCCCCCTATCTGTTAGCTGAAAGACTTTTGGGGCATGTAACCATTTCTATCTAGCATCCTTTCCTACCATACTTTCCTAATCTGCCTCTATGGGGTTAGCCTTGTAGGCCTAACAAGTTATGGTTAAAATGGTTGCTGGCAGCCTCTTTCCTCATCCTCTCTTTTCACTCCACTCTGCCATCTCCCAGCAACACCTAAGTGGAAGTCTTGCAAGGATGCAGTTGTGGGTTTCCATACATGACACATGAAAGATGAGTGAAGGCAGGCCTACCATAGGGAGCACCATCCATAATGGGTTTCTGAGAAAGTTGATGCACAGAGTTGGTAAACTAACTGCTTTGTGAGTGACCATCTTGGAAAAAAAAAAAAAAGTGTACCTGGCATGCTGAGCAGGTGAGTATCACAGGTTGAGGGACCAGATGCCATGAGGGGAAGAATGGTCTGGAAATGGATTGGTTCCTTACTGATTCTTTTATATGGTATCATTTAGGGCACATATGGGTCAGTCCCCCTTCTCTGCAGCTCAGGAGAACCAGAGTACCTGACAACAGAGACTTGGGTGGAGCTGAAAATATCTCACTTTTCAGTGAGGCCAGTGGAGCCTTGAACACAGTTTTCATTGTATAGCAATGAGAATACTGTCTTGCTCAAACCCTCCCAATGAAGATAGATATAAGAAGGACCATATCCCACAATGAACAGGGTCTGCAAGGAAGGAAAAACACAGAAGTCTCTGAGCAAACCGTATGAACATTTTCATTCTAAGTTATCCATAACCCTCAGCTCTTGAGTGGATGCAATTAAGCAAAATCTCTTCATCATAGGAGAGAAACAATCTTTCATCTTTCCATCTAGAATGAGAATCTCCAAAATCATGGAAGAGTCATTTACTAAATGGGCATGAGTGGATTTCCTGGAAGAGATCAACATGACCCTTTTAGGAGCACTCAAGTGTGGAAACACTTACGAGTCTTCACTTTAGGATTGGGACCATGAGGATTTCAGCTGCTCTTAACTAATCATCCTTACTTTTTGTGAGTCCTAGTGGAGGTGGAAAAGCGGATAGTGAGTGAATGTAATTATTGCCGTTGGAATTGCTCTTACTATTTCTTGCCTACATGTTACCTCCCTTCTTACCTGTTCCAGTTTTGTGTCAGTGACTGCCAGCCTCAGCACTTATTCCACCATCCCTGTGACGTGGCTTTCTTTCACTTTATAGATATGAGACCTACACACATGGACTTTTTAAGAAGCTGGGAATTCCTGGGCCAACACCTCTGCCTTTTGTGGGAACTGCTCTGGCCTACCGTAAGGTGAGTTGCTTGAGCTCCCTCTTTTGCTTCTTATGATTGTCAATCCCAGCTTAGTTTCAATGTAAATATGCTCGTCCTCAGGAGGAAGTGCTTAGGTTTCAGAATTCCCAGAAGTGGTGTCACAGGCCCCACCCAACACATGGCCAGGTCTACCCCAGGGCTCTATTGTCTGCTGTTAGGAGCCTCAGGGTTTGCCTCAGTGGGCAGCCCAGCCCTCTGGCTGCTTCAACCCAGGACCTGATGTTCTAGCTTGTGAGCATCGAGAAGAGGCTTTTGTTTCTGGCAGGTGCAGATTCCCAGGAAGGCATAATCATACTTGGTATGAGGAGAAGAGCATCAGGGGGGTCCATGCTAGTGGTCCATTAAGCTGTGTATGCTAGAGTCAGATTTTTCTGTTCATAGTACAAGCTCTGGGTAGCCTTTTGTTTGGCTGGATAGCTCTGGAACTTCAGTTTATTGGGCAGCTCAAATTCACCTTTGGGGAATTTGCACATACTTGAATTCTCTCAAGAATTGCCAACCCACTGCATTTATTTCCAAGCTCTAACTCACCCTTTGCTAATGGTGATATCTCTTGGGATTTGAGAGGTTGACCCAGAG